AATATATCTTTAGAGTGGGTTGTTTTATATCTTTGGAATATATCTTTAGAGTGGGTTGTTTTATATCTCTAAATTGGTACGTATATATATCTTCAGGGTAGGTTTGTTATGTATATTTGTAGTAAGTAGTTTTATATAGTTGGTATATATCTTTAGAGTGGGTTGTTTTATATCTTTGGAATATATCTTTAGAGTGGGTTGTTTTATATCTCTAAATTGATATGTATCTTTATGGCGCGACTGGTATGTATTTTTATAGTAGGTTATCATATATCTTTCAGTTGGTATCTTTATGATCAGTGTCTCCTCTAAACTTCACGGTTGCGCAGCCACACAACCAGTCAAGTGCCGCGCACTTAACTTAATTAATCCAGACGCGCACATCCTCAGTAATGGTGAGGAGTCTCAACACGTTGACGGCCTTAATGACCCTGGCAGTCGATAGTCCTAAAGCCCAAATAACCAACTTGTAGCATTGCAAAGCGGCCCAATGATCCAATAGGATCGATGGTCTAAAAATACCCCCTGCCCCTAAAAAAACTATTAGCGCACATTCCCTTGATACTGGTGCACATGAAAAAAATTCATTTCGCACATGGATTGAAAAAATTACAGAGAACATTGTTCATGATTTGGAAAGCTAACCGGCATTTAATATTATTTTATATTAAGTGGGCGTCAAGCTGAATTATAAAATAATGATGTAAAAAATGTCTTTTATTTGAACATGTTCAGGAACTTTAAGTTACTATTACATTGTTTGTCCATATCTGTCCTACTATATATGCGTTAATTAGCGCCACCTATACTAAAACAATACGCAGTGGAAATAATAACAACATTTTTCAGTTAATTTCAAAAGGATTTGTTGTTTTTCGTAATATCATGTGCTGAAGTAGTAATATTGTAGGATATTACAAAAGAATTGGTCATATTTGTGATTAATATCAAACTCGGTCAAAAATATCTGGAGTAACTGTAAGTTTCAATAATTTCTTATGTTGAATTTTTCAGGTTGGGACATTTCATAATCATCTGACCACCCTGGTAAACATGGTAACTTATGGAACTCAAGGAGAAGAGATTTCAATGGAGAATACAGTATCCGAATGTAGCTTAGACTGTGGTCGTTGTGAGAGTCTCAACCCGAGTTTTCTTGTAGTACATTCCAAAGACCATTTTTATTTGGGTGCAACCTTTGGTGTCCACAAGTCATCTTTAAATGCCCTAGAGTGTGGAGAATTAGATTCCTTTACTGGAATTCAGCACGTGGAAGCATTCTTGTGGGCATTAGACCAGGTCAACAATGACCCTCGAATATTGCCTGGTGTTACTTTAGGGGGTGTGGTTTTTGACACGTGCAACAATCGTATAAAGACGTCACAAAATATATTCGATTTTTTTAGCCAATCATCGCCCGTTCCAGAATTATCGAAAGCTGGAGATGGTTCCAAACTTCTCTTTCCTGGGAAGATAATGGGCTTCCTCGCTGACCAACGATACGATGTGGTCAAGCCTGTTATTGATCTCACCATTCCTCAACAGATAACCACACTGGCACAAGAACTGACCTCATCAGAGTTCAACAACTTGAACTGGTATAATTACGTCTTAAGACTTTCACTGCCAAACGTTTTGATAGCAGATGCCATGGTCAGGATTTTAAAATTATTTCGTTGGAATTACGTCTCTGTGGTATATTCTCACAGAGATCATCAACAAGAAGACCTCTTTCAGAACTTCAAGACAGGGGCTAAGAAAAACCACATCCAGTTGGCACTGACAGAAAAGGTTCCAGATATTAAAGCTAGCTGGTTGAATGTTCTTCGACGATTGAACTCCAAAAGAGATGATGGAGCAAGGTATGCTGAAAACACTCTATTTTCAATAGAATTGGTAATTGGTTTCAATGTATAATTCATTTAGGATATTTGATGAAGAACTTAAGCTTTATTCAGCACATGGAAAATTTACTAGAAGTCGTATAAAATACTGATGATTTGTGGGAAAACTCTGGACATAAAGTACTACCGAGGCAAGTTATCGGTTTTCACATTTCTTCATTTCAATGAAACTAAGAGCTAATCAGAAAAGTTTGGTGAAAACAAAACCTTTAATTATTCCATCATCTGCTTGACCAACTAT